AATGATGAAGCAGTTGGATAATCCCAATGTACTGATGGTCCTCATTTGGGACCATGAAATATAGTGAAGATAGCTTACTTTTCTGAAATTCCTCTTGGACTAATGAGCCATATGTCAGCTAAAAGAAAGTGCAGTAGTATTCTGTTGAGTTGTTACATCAAAGCTGACCTTTTCTGATCTAGTTTTCATGTAAAATATAAATAACGAAGGATTTTCTTTCTTTCTTTCTTTCTTTCTTTCTTTCTTTCTTTCTTTCTTTCTTTTTGTGGAATTGTTTCAAAATATTAATATTGAATGGAATTTCTAGGAATTATTTGAAACATACATAATAGTTAAATTGTTTTAATAGGAGCAGAGAACACTACATTCACATCTTCTATCTGATCTGGAATGCCCCTGGATACTCTGGGACATTCACTTCTATGACTGGCATTGTAGCTTCAGAAAATTGCGTTAAGCACACTACCTTAAACTCTGCAGAAAGTCTCAATAGAATTCTAAGCCTAATATCCGATACACATTAATTATGCCATAACAACAAGGTACAAAACATTTTTTTGTGGAATTGTTTCAAAATATTAATATTGAATGGAATTTCTAAGAATTATTTCAAAAACATAGTTAAATTGTTTTATTAAGAGCAGGGAATACTACTTTCAAATCTTCCATCAGGTATGGAATGTCCATGGATACTCTGGGACATTGACCACAATGATTGGCTTTGTAGTTTCAGAAAAGAGTGTTAAGTACTCTACCTTAAACTCTGCAGGAAGTCTTAACAGAAATCTAAGCCTAATGTCCAATGCTCATTAACTATGCCATAACAACAAGGTACAAAAAATTTTCTCCTCCACCCCTGCATACTTACTTGTGGAATCTTGTAGAAACCTGCAGTTTCAGCTATATAAGATGATGTATGGGAACCTAATCCTCCAATGATGGCCATGAGATTTTTCTGAATATCACATTTGGAGTTGGGGACAATTGTCTTGGGTTTGAAGAGCAGATC